TGGGGGGGGCGTGGGGGTGTCCCGTGCAGCTGGAATGTGCTCCCACAGAAGGCTTCTCCCTGTGAGCTTGTTCAGACCTGTCACTGATTAGCACTCATGAAGCAGCCATTTCATGGAGCTTGTAATTGCACACCCAGGTGTTTGCTGCTTTTTGTTTTGATGCTGCAAGTTCGTAAGGTTCATAAAAACATAAGGCTCTTATATGTTTTTTATACAAGAAAAGGAAATTAATCCTGCTGGCTATCTAACATGGTGAAAATGCTTGAGATCATTGGAACTACAGCCACCACCTACGGAGCCATATGCAGGGTGTCCGGGACGTAACTGGGCTTAGGCTGCAGGAGGTGGGCTTGCTGTAGGCTTTCTCTAAAACCGTTTTCTCTTAAACACAGAAAAGACAATTTTAAAAGTACTTAGAACATTTTACTTAAAAATAAATGGCTAACTGAAGAGTGCCTTACAGATAGTTTTAGTTTGTGCTTTTGGGCTATAGACTGAGTTTAAGTTGTTAAGTCTCATTTAGCTCAAAACACAAAGTGGGATTCCTGCCCTCACAGAAGAGGGGGGCTGTCGGGCGAGCGGCCTCCTCGCGGCGGCGCCCACGGTGACGGGTGGCGGGTGCTCTGAGGACCGGCCCTCGGTCCTGCTGTCCTCGCTGTGGCCACGTGGCTGAGCCTCTCGGTGTGAAGTCAGGAGGCCCGGTCCCTCCAGCCCAGGTGTGTCTGGCGCCTGCAGGACTATTGCTTATGAGTCTGAACACAGTATTTTATATTTTAGTTCCAAAAGCAAAATAGCAAGTTACATCAAAAATAAGTGTTTGCCTATTTTATAGTCATGGCCTAAGTGCTCGTTTCTAGATGGGCTGAAATGTGGATTCAGTTATAGGATTAGAATAGGAGCATTAAGGGTTAATAATGCTCTAAAGCAGAGCCAGCGTTTCACATGTGGACTCAGAAAACCACGCTGCTTGCAGGTCCGTCCCAGGAAGGGAGCCTTCAGATCACTCTGCCTCGCCCACTCTCTTAGCCGAGACTTGGGGTGAGGTGCAGGCCCGCAAGGCCCGCCACGAGCTGTGTGTGGAGCGGGTAGAGGGGAGACGTGGGCCGTCGGCGTGGTATCCCCCCCTTTGGTTCTCAGATCACTTTGAGAACCTGGGGAGACTGTGACAGGACACACGGCCCTTGGCATAGTTTTCAGGGATCCGTACACCTGCAGCCCCTCTTAGGAGCCAGCCTAGGAGTCTGCTGCCTAGTTCAGGTCCTGCGTTTCAGGGAGAAGGAGAGGTTGGTGTGGCCATGTCTTTTGTTTCGTAATTGATGCCGAGAGTAAACATGCAGGAGCTGGGCCTGGAGCCCAGCCCACAGGAATCAGGCTTCGGCCTGCCCGGCTCCGCGCCTGTTGGAGCGCCTCCCACGCACCCTCCCATGCTGGGTGGAGTGAGCCCAGAGTGAGTTCTAGCGCTGATGATTTCAGAATTAAGGTAATTCCTACTGAAAGGGGGTCAGACAATGCGTTTGACCTCAGGTCTGAATTTGAGCAGCTAATGAATCAGAACGATGGGTCTGACTAGCAGTTCCGCTCAGACGCGGAGGAGGGAGCGGTGGGCAGAGCTGCTGACCGCCTGCCGAGTGCAGGGCCTGGGTGCTCAGGCCACCCGGCCACTTAGTTCTAACCCGCTGTCCACCTCCGAGACAGTAGGGCTGAGCTCATGCTGCTCTGGCCGCAGTATCTTTCTTCCTCCTGCTGCTGCTGCTGCTGCTGTGTGTGTGTGTGTGTGTGTGTGTGTGTGTGTGTGTTAATGATGTGATTGTTAATCATCTCATACGCCCACACTCACTTGGAGTTCGCCCTGGAATGTTGGCCGCCTGGGTTCCTTCCCTTCGAGTCTCGCTGTGCGGGAGGGGAGAGGCCTGAACTGTG